TGTTGACTTTTGTTGGCTTTTTCAATAATGGCCTGAATTGAATTCTTATCGATTGTGGGTGATACCTAAGGTTTATTTTGAAACGTTTGGTTGGTAATTTTCTAGATATTGTTTGTTCGGAGGCGTGTTTGAAAGGCAAAGCTGTGATCGAGCTTTTAGTGGCCTTTGGAGCGAGGTAAGTGTTGTGTCTAACCTTGACTTGAGGGAATTAGGAACCCTCGAACTTTGTGTTATGTGAGTTCCATGTGAGCGGCGTATATGCAAGGTGACGAGTGGTTATACGCCGCCGAATTATCTATTTTCCCTGATTTATCGCTTTTCCTTAATTGTTTTCCCTCCTATCTTAATTGTCACATGCTCTAAGTGTTTTTCATGCTTAATTGCGACGTGTTAATCAATGTTTTTCTTCATTTAACCATGTTAGCTCTTTTCATAGTTTTCCCTAATCCCTGCTATTTGCTTAATTTGACTTGTTTGTACCTTTTTAACTGTAAAAGGCTGGTTTGGTCTCGCTGTGTAGTATTATTTGTGTAGATTCTGTATTGAACAAGGTTCCTTTTTCTTGGTTCAGTTTTGTATTTATTTATCGTAAAGGCCTTGTGATTTAGCCTGTTGATTTGACTGTGTACATTGACTGTTTGGTACTGATATGGTGGGATCGGGCTGCATGCCGCAGCAGGTGTAATAAGGGAGGATTGTTATGGTGGAATAAGGGTAAGTATGTATATACGGTGGGATCGGGTTGCACGCCCCAATAGGTGGAATAAAGGTGGATCAATATGGTGAAATAAGGGTGAATTACGATATTGCTATTGCTATATGGTAGGATCGGATTGTGCGCCGCATCATATATATATATATATATATATATATATATATATATATATATATATATTATTTACCGTTATTGATATTGTTATGGTGGAATAAGGGAGGATTATGTGTTGTCCGGTGGGATCGGGTTGCGCGCCGCAACAACCTATATGTTTCATATATTGAGCTGCGTTGTTTTTCAGTATTTTTATTTGAGCTGGTAGAGAATGGTAATTTTGGACAAAACTGGGTTATTTTCGAGGATGTGGTTATCATCTCATGTTGGCTGTTTAATTATGTAGTGTATTTAATTATGATGTCGTTATTATAGACTGCGTATAAGTTTTAGCGTAGGTGACCCGCCTTAGCCTCATCACTACTTCGTCGAGGTTCAGCTCGGCACTTACCAGTACATGGGTCGGTTTGTACTGATACTACACTCTGCATACTGTGTAGATTTTAGAGACGGTCCCGGCAGCGGCTACTGGAGAGCTCGGATCGGACATTTGCGGAGACTTGAGGTACGACTGTTCAGCGCCCGCAGCTCCTGGAGTCCCAATCCTCTATTTATTTAGCTATGAACTTTCATTCGAACAACTTGTTATTTACTTCAGACCCTTATGTGTATTACTCTAGTATTTTGTGCACTCGTGACACCAGGTTCAGGGAAATTGTAATAGATATTTGGCTAGTTCAACTTCCGCATTGTTACTTTAAATTTATTCAGTTATCTCAGTTCTTCTTTAATATCTGTTTTAAACTATTAAAAGGAGCAGATTGTTCTAACGTTGGCTTGCCTATCAAGTGAAATGTTAGGCGCTATCACGGTCTCGATGGTGGAAATTCCGGGTCGTGACACGGCTAGTGGTATTTTTCACAACTTTAGTGCACTTTATGGGCCCTTTCATGGTTTCACTCGAAAGATACTTCTCAATCTCTCACCTTACTTCTTTTAGCGCCTAAGTGCCTTAGGGAGGAAAGGTTCAACAAGCTCAAATTAAGAATATAATAGGGATACGACCTGTAATGTAGGTGCCAAGGAAAAAGTCTATAGGCTCAAAGGGGCTAGCAACGGGAAAAATTTATTTGTAAGTGACAAGCACATCTATGATCAAGCAAAGAAATGCCTACGTCATCTCCTAAACTAGCACAACTTAATGATTTCGCTTAGATTAACACACAGGGCAAGTTGTAGACTACATAATATATCACAAAATATCACAAATGCTCACACACACATTGCACATGACTCAATGAAGATGGTTCTATTCAACTCTCAAGTCAAGCAACACATATAGTTGAGATATTTTAAGCAATAATGCACTAGGTGACATACAAGTCAAACAATTGAGAACAAGCGTCACGAAGTAGTCTATTTATATTACTTAGGCATCACAAGGTTTCAAGTTGAGTAGGACTAAGACAGAATATCTGGAGTGTAAATTCAGCGATGCGTTGGGGGAAGTGGACATGGACGTGAGGCTTGACTCAAAAGTCATCCCCAAGAGAGGAAGTTTCAAGTACCTTGGGTCAATTATCCAGGGTGATGGGGAGATAGATGAGGATGTCACGCACCGTATAGAAGCGGGGTGGATGAAATGGAGGTTAGCATCTGGAGTCTTGTGAGACAAGAAAGTGCCACCGAAATGTAAAGGCAAGTTCTATAGAGCGGTGGTTAGACCGATCATGCTGTATGAGGCTGAGTGTTGGGTAGCCAAGAATTCTCATACCCAGAAGATGAATGTGGCAGAAATGAGGATGTTGAGATGGATATGCGGGCACGCTAGGACGGATAAGATTTAGAATGAAGATATTCGGGAGAAGGTGGGAGTGGCTCCCATGGACGACAAGATGCGAGGCTTAGATGGTTCAGGCACGTGCGGAGGAGAAGCCTAGATTCCCCAGTTAGGAGGTGTGAGCGGTTGACATTGGCAGGTATGAGGAGAGGTAGATGTCGTCCTAAGAAGTATTGGGATGAGGTGATCAGGTAGGACATGACGCGACTTGAGATCTTTAAGGACATGGATCTTGATAGGAAGGTACAGAGGTCGAGCATTAGGGTTGTTAGTCGGGAGGGAGTCGAGCGTATTTATACTTTGTACCGGGGGCGGGTGGGGCTAGGCTGATAATGTTTCGCCTTGGATTGTTAGTGGTTTATGTTGTTTCCACACTATTTTCTATAGCATTATTACTAGTTATTGTTATTGATTTCATATATTTTCTGTCACTAATTACGATGCTGATATTATTTTTCTAGCTTCTATTACTGTCACTGATCTATTGTCTATTATTTATTTTCGTCTTCTTGAGCCGATGGTCTTTTGGAAACAGCTTTTCTATCCCTCTAGGGTAGGGGTAAGGTCAGCGTACACTCTACCCTCCCCAGACCCCACTTGTGGGATCTTACTTGGTTGTTGTTGTTGTTATAGGCATCACAATTTAAATCGAATATAACAGGAAGGCAGAGCGCATGCCATTTCCTAATGTGCCAGTACCAAACATGTCAACAGGTATCTTAGAGCAACTCAGTTTTTCTTCCTATCCTACTCCTAAAAAGATCAAAACAAAATACTCGGTTCAGGCTACACCCTTGGAAAAGAACCAGCGCCCAAAGAAAAACCAAGGGATACTACCTAACTATCCTAAAAAAATAAAAGAAAATCTTTTTGGTATTTTTAATTGGACCTTAATCCCTCAAGAAAGCTATCCAAGAGATCCATAGTCGGGAAAAGTTCGAGCTTTTTCTGATTTTTTTTCTTTTAGCAGCTAGACTACTACTAACTAACTAGACTATGTCTATTACGAGTTCTAAAAGAAAAACTACTAAAAAAAGAAAAAGTTTATACACTTACATTCAGAAAGTAGTTCCCCCACCCCACACTTATGTTATGCATAGTCCTCGATGCATGATCATAGAGAAAAATATTAAAACAAGGATGAGAAATACTCCTTGAGATCCTCTAGGGCTTAGCTAGCGCATGAGCCTTAATATTAAAGGTCGGGACGACCCCACACTTAAGCTCAAACATGCTCCTCAACTTCAACTTCGGGTAATCAGACTTTTTTGCAAGAAAACAAAAACAAAACGTGACACTATAAAATTAAAAATAAAAAAAATCCAGGCTGGGTTGCCTCCCAACAAGCGCCTTATTTATAGCCGTGGCACGACTCTGCTAAGGCTAGGCGCTTTCGCTTATTCTTTCTCCCATGAAGTCTAGCCTTTTTGCATGCTCTAGGAAGGTCTCCTCTTTCATCTTTGGCTCTTTTATCAGTCATCTTTACACGCTCGGCTTGCAACATCACCTCCTCTAACTCAGTTTTCCCATCTGGATCACTACAGTTCACGTAATGGTTTTGCTCTATCCCCTTCGATTCCATCACAATAATCATGCACAAGTCCTCATAATGCTTAGGGAGCTTAAGTGCCTTATGCACATTGAAAGTGATTTCCTCATCATAAACTCTCATCTTCAACTTCCCTTCTCTCACATCAATAGTCGCTCCACCAATGGCTAAGAACGGTCGCCCCAAAATACTGGGCACTTCCTCATCCGCCTCATAATCAAGAATAATAAAATCATCAGGAAGAATAAACTTTCCCACTTGAACTAACACATCCTCAATAATTCCTTCTGGCATCACTAGTGACCTATCTGCTAACTATAAAGTGATTGTAGTCGGTCTAAGGACCCCCAATCCGAGTTGCTTTAACAAAGATGATGGCATCAAATTTATACTATCCCCTAAATCGCACAGGGCTCTACCAACTTCTTGTTTCCCAAGAGACAGAGAAATTTGAAACTCCCAGGATCCTTCAACTTAGGAGGAAGTTTACTCTGAACTCTAGCACTGCAATCTTTAGTAAGTGCAACTGTTTCAAACTTTGTGTGTCTTCACTTGTTTGCCATAATATTTCTGAGATACTTTGTATACTTAGGCACCTCCTGCAAAATTTCCACCAAAGACAAATTCACACGCACTTGGCTCAAAATATCTAAGAATCTCTTGTACTTAGCATCATTGTTTTGCTTTTGGAGTCTTTGTGGAAATGGAGGTGGTGGCCTTGTCACAATTACTGGCTTTGATCTTTCGCTCTCTTTCTCATTCTCCTCAACTGACTTAGCAACTAATTCTCCTTCAGGCCTAGCCGTATACTTCTTTTTTCTTAGAACTTCTTCTAAAACTCTTCAATTTCTCAATGTAAGCGCATTGACTTGAGCCTTAGGATTAGGCTTAGTATCAATAGGAAGAGCCCCAGCTGGCCGATTATTTTGAGTACTAGCAAGTTGCCCCATTTGTCGCTTTAAATTCTGAATAGCTGCTGAGTGGGCTGCTGCTTGGGCCAACTTGTCAGCCATCAATTTCTTTAGCATCTCCTCAATGTGACTCGTCGAGTTCGTAGGTTGTTCAGCTTGCAGTGGTCTATATTGCTGTTGAGGAGCTTGTGGCATGTACTGTTTCTGAGCACCTTGATTTTCACCCCAAGAAAAGTTTGGGTGGTTCCTCCAGTTAGGGTTATAAGTGTCCCCATACTGATTTGCTTGGCCTCGATTTGCATTACCCACAAAATATACAGACTCTGGATTTACTGGGCATAGATTGCTAATGCGACCTTCTCCACAGACTTCATAAAATATCTGAACTACTGCACTGGTTGAGCTTGCTGCTTATTAATAACAAAGGTCATCCTATTGACTTGGTTGGCCAATGTGGCAACCTGCGCTGATAATGCAGAATTAACGTCTAACTCCAGGACCCCTGCAGATTTTTGAACCGTGGGTCTGCCCATCTATCCTTGCTAGTCAAGATTACTTTTGGAGAATTTGTTCAATAATGCATAAATTTCATCAAATCTTTTCTCTAACACTTGACCTACCGCTGCAGCGTCTACCATAATTTTTCTCTCTAGCCCTTCTATGAAGGTATGAGCCAATATTTCATTTGTCTGGTTGTGATGAGGACAATCTCTGAGCAGCCCCTTGAACCTCTCCCAAGCCGAATATAATGACTCCCCTGATTTCTGTTTAGAGGCTACTATCTCACTTCTTATCTTTGCAGTTTTGCCCGAAGGGAAGAACCGCGCTAAAAAATTTCTAGCCAGATCATTCCATGATGTAATAGAATTAGTTGATTCCGCCTTCAACCACCGCTTTGCTCTGCCCAACAGAGAGAATGGGAACAGTGTGAGCCTCACATAGTCTAGAGGGACTCTGTTAGTGATATAAGTATTACTAATCTCCAAGAAGTTCAGAAAGTGTTGATGTGGATCCTCGTGTGGAAGACCCATAAACTGGCCGTTTGCACGTAATAACTGGATCATGCACTGTTTTATCTCAAAGTGCCCAGTGATTCTAGGCTTCACAATGCTGGAGGTGACATTAGCAATGTTGGGCATCGCCACCTCCTGAACAGCCATATGTTGCTCTTTTGCCATATTCATAGGTAATTGAATAAGTGTTTGAAGATTATCTGTGTCCCTTTCTTCTCTCAACCTCTAGTGAAATATTTTCTCAGGTTCGGGGTCAAAGCCTTGAAGTCTATCCTGACTCCTGACCTTCACATTCAATCAAAGTTCCTGAGAGCAGAGCAACCAATAAGAAATATTAGACTTGACGAAATAAACAACTAAAGTAAAAGCTAGTAAAGCAGTCAATATTTAAGTCCCCGACAACAGCATCAAAATTAAAACTTGTTGCTCCCAAACGCACACGCAAGTATACGTGATCGTACAAGTAATATAATGATAAGAAGAGTGTCGAACCCACAGAGACTTGTGACAACTACCCACTACTTTTACCAAAATTGTTATTCTGTCGAGTCAATCAGAGTTTAAAAGTGTGATTATGCTAAGCAATGAATATAACAAGTAACTAATTGATCAAGCAGAAAATGGTTGTTGTGTATTCAGTAGAGATGAACATCCCAGGGTTGTGATCGATTTGTCAATCTTATTGCGCTCTAATTAACTCTTCCTTTCATACGATTCGCTCATGCTTACTAATTAATCAAGCAATTCGCTCATACCTACGGTCGGTGCATCTGTAGATCGACGCAGGACATGACTAAACCATCTCAAGCGACCTTCTCTCATTTTATGCTCATGTGTAATATTTGCACCTTCTGACATGCGGCATTTTCTAATCTTATCTGATCTTAATTAGAGATTACTTTCCTAAAACTTGTCGCTTAATTATGGTTAGAATGCTTATTAGATTATTTTTATCTAGACGCTTAAGATGTAAATAGAACTCGAGGAAATGGACAGAAGCCAAAATCCGTTCACATGTTAGATACCGCAATTAAAATTTTACTTAATTGTAGCACTAGCACCCAAAAATCACCATAACTTTAGATTACGTTATAAACTACGAAAATATTCTCTTTTCCCAAAACCTAACATGATTGTAAATGTTGTGCACAAGTATTTCATGACAAGTAATTACCTTACTAATCGCTTTTGTCCTATGTGTTTTCTTACAGAGCCAAACTTCTCGTTTCATCATTATTATATTAGGTCATGATTTAGTACATTTTGTGGTATTTTTTTTTTAATTTTGATTGTTATATATCATCGATAGGCAATTATAGTATCAAACCTCAACTTTAAAGTGGGAAAGCTTTCTAGTGGTTGGGTGGGCCGGCAATATGAGTTAATTCTTCATAAATTTATTTATCTGTACCAGATATTTATATTAAATTAGATTTTCTTACTGGAGCTAAGAGATTTAGTAAGATGAAATTATGTAATATTTAACAATGGTTAAATGGAAAAAAGTACATGCATCTATCAGTTTGATGTAAACACTTGATAAGAGTAAGTCTTTACGTTGGCTTCGGTATCTCAATAGTATATCATAAGTTGTGTTTGTCTTAAATCCTACTGAATCTTAAAATCGTCTACTATAACCTATTTGAATAACATAAAGTAGGAATTTCAGACTACAAACTATAAATTAATTTTCCTAGTTAAAGTAAACAGCTTAATTTAGTAGTCAACAAGGGGTGAGTTTAACTCTATTGGTAACTGTTCGTATTAAAAAAATAAAAGCTGAAATATTAGTAACCTAAAAAATAAAATATATTATTAGTACAACAAGTTAAAGTATATTAATAATGTAAAAAAACAATTAATTGTGTGTATATAGGTTAATCCTACAAAATCTTGAACTATTCTTCTATATTATCCCATTTTTAGCAAACAAATTTTAAATAAAAGAGGAAAATTACTGGATAACTTTTTTTTTTTGAATAGAATCCTAGTTGAAATAGTGCGCTCTTTTGTAGCAGTAGCCAACGAGGATTTAAAGTCCTTAGCCATTATATCTCTATATAAACTTTCCAAAGCTATCACAATTTTATATATCCTTCTTCTTTCTTTCTCCTATTTTTTTATTATTCTTTCACGTATTTCATTAATTGTTCATTAAACAATGGATTCAAGAACTAGGTTGTTTTGTTTGGTTCTTTTAGTTTTATCATGTTTTTGTTTGTCAAAGGCAGATGAAGTGAAGGTAATGGTAAAAGGAGTGACATCTATAGCTAAAACAGATGATAATTTCATATGTGCAACTTTAGATTGGTGGCCAGAAAATAAGTGTGATTATAATCAATGTCCGTGGGGGAAAGCTGGTATCCTTAATCTGGTAATTTTTCTATTTTGATATTTCCAAGTTTTGTAGTTTTATATTTCTTGAAAAGAAGAAGGAAATTAAAGGAGATTTTATTGACTGATTTTGACCAAAAAAAACATGCAGGATTTGAAAAACAAGATTCTTACAAACGCCGTTAAAGGTTGGTTTTATAGTTCATTGCTTTCTCTAGATCTATTCCATTGTGTTGTAGACTTTGCATTGTGTTTTATATTTGCATACTTAATATTCCAAAACTTGCAACTCGTGTTAAGAAAATAAAAATAAAAAGTACAGCCCGATGCATCCCGTATATATGCAGAGTCCCCGTAGGAGGTTTAATGTAGGCAGCACCCCATAGGAGGTTTAATGTAGGCAGTCTATCTTAATACAAGCATTAGTAGCTGATTCCACTGCTCGAACCCATGACCTATAGGTTATACGGAGACAACTTTATCGTTGCTCCAAGACTCTTGTTCTAACTCGTGTTATCCGCAAGAAAAGAAAAGCTGACATTGCTTTTAATTTATTTGTACAACTTTAGATTCACTATAGTCCTAGATTCAAAATCTTTTAAAAGCAAAATTGTGATAATAGACTGACACTACTTGCACAAATACCGCTATTAATATACACCAATGTGCAATGTTATTATAGAACGCAAGAACGAAATAAAAAGAGTTTAGAGAATATAATGGAAACGGAAAACGGCTAGAGAATATAATGCAAACAAAAGAACATTTTGCTTGAAAATAGAGTTTAATTATGGGAACTTGTTTTTTCCTTTTGATGTTCTCATGGTTTTCATGACCCAATTTTGTTTTTATTCTAAACGTCTGTATATTTCTCTCTTCTTATTTTGAACGCAAAAAAAAAGACGTTAAAATTTGCAGTTTTTTTTTTTTGTCTAAATTATTTTGATTATTTTTGAAAAATTTGCAGCATTCAATCCACTAAGAATCAGAATAGGAGGTTCACTACAAGATCAAGTTTACTACAAAGTTGGAAAATTCCCAAAGCAATGCTCAAACTTTGAGAAAAAATCAGATGGCCTTTTTGGATTTGCTGAAGGCTGTCTCCACATGAATAGATGGGATGAATTGCATGATTTGTTTAACAAAACAGGGTAAGATCATCATTTTCTTCTCCTTTAATTTATTTCCTCTTAAATATATTGCACCTCTTAAATTTTATAAATTAATATTCTACATTGTTTTTTAATTTTATATATGTACATGGTCACAAGTGAGACGGTGAGCGTAGATAGATCTTAATTAGTTGTAGTACAATATGGGGTCGATTTATGGACTAGTTATGCGGAGATCATAATACAGAAATGTTATGTGCGGAATAATATAATAGGTGTTGTTATGTGCGAATTGATACTTTAAGAATCTTTTTGTCTTTGGTTATTCTTATTCATGTATCTTTAATACTTCTATAAAGAAAAAAAATTGGAACTCTGTGGTTTAAATAAACCATTAAAAGCATGTTATTAAAGGTAAATTAAGAAATATAAAGCTAAATTGTTTGGTAAAATTGAATGGTGTGAATTTTTAGAGCATACTAATAAGGAAATAATGTCACATAAAATATAATATAGGGAGTACTCACTTATGCAAAATTTTATGGTGAGATTATTTTTTATTAGTGTGTCAAACCAAACGACTCCTATGTACACTGTATATATTAAAATTATTTTGATGCATAAATATAAATGTTGAATCCTGTTGGTTTGTTCATATGTTTACTTTTTAATATTCTGAATCTCGTTGGTAAAAATCCTGGCTCCGCCACTGTTCTTATGTTAACATTTTTATATTCTTTGTGAATTTATGCAGGGCTGCATTAACATTTTCATTGAATGCCTTACTTGGAAGGATACAATCAGATGAAGATGATACTCTTTGGGAAGGAGATTGGAATCAGTTTAATGCAAAATCATTAATGAAATACACTATTAGAAAAGGATACAAGATTGACTCATATGAATTAGGTAAAAATACAAACTATAATCTTAAGCCAATGAATTATTTTTTCTTGTTTATAAAAGTATTTAACATAAATCTTTTGTAGGTAATGAGCTTTGTGCAGGAGGGGTTGCTGCAAAAATAAAGGCTCAACAATATGGCAAAGATGTCAAGAAATTAAAGAAACTTATAACACATATGTACCCTGACCCTGCTACTAGACCAAAAATCTTGGCCCCTGGTGGATTTTATGATGAAGAATGGTTCAAAACCTTCCTTCAAACTACTGGTCCAGACGTCGTCGACGGATTGACACATCATATTTACAACCTTGGAGCAGGTATATAACAATGTTCTTGCATCCAGAAGCTGATCCAGGATTTAAACTTGACGTGTTCAGCCTTTATTTTTCTACTACTGAATATACTTTTATGCTTCGCGTAAACAATGTTGTATTGTCTTCTTGATTTCCTCCTATGTATTGAGTTTGAGTTGTTTTTGGACTAAGAATCTTGGTAAAATTGCAGGTGTTGATCCAACTTTGATTGACAAACTTCAGGATCCATTTTACCTTAGTCAAGTAGCTCAAACATTTAATGATGTTTCAAATACTGCTAAATTGTTTTCACCATCTTCTGGTCCTTGGGTTGGTGAATCTGGTGGAGCTTATAATAGTGGTGGCAAAACCACTTCACATACCTTTGTCAACGGCTTCTGGTAACTCTTCATAGCAAGTCTGATATAATAAAGTAGAAATAACTTTTCGAGTTTTCGTTTTCATTGGCTAGAATGGCTTAAATTAGTCTTGGTATTGCAGGTATTTGGATCAACTCGGAATGACATCAACTTTCAACCATAAGGTATACTGCAGACAATCCTTAATTGGTGGAAACTATGGTCTTCTCAACACTACAAGTTTCATCCCAAATCCAGATTACTATGGGTATTTAACGCGATTCTCATGATCTCAAATCGCCTTTTCTCATAAGTCTAGCTGTTTTACAAGGTTTTTTTCTGATAACTTTTTGCAGTGCTCTTTTGTGGCATAAGCTCATGGGAAAGAATGTGCTTTCTGTTACTCATGAGGGCTCGCCTTACTTGCGAACCTATGCTCATTGCTCAAAGACAAGTGTAAGATACAACATTATCAAGAATAGTATGATCTTATTAAGTGTAACATGATTCTAAAAATGTCTGAATAATCTTTGTTTTTGTCTCACAGGGTGTTACAGTTCTACTGATTAACATGGACAAGTCGACAACATTTGAAGTATCTGTGGTAGATGACTTGAACATGTATCCTAGTGGGATTGAGCCTATACATCAAAGGGAAGAGTACCATTTGACACCAAAAGATGGCAACATTCAGAGTGATGTCTTGTTGCTAAATGGCACTCCATTGAAGCTTACTGCCTCATTCGACATCCCAGAAATGAATCCTCAGCTCGTTGATCCAACGTTGCCTATCTCCGTTGCTCCACGTTCTATCGTCTTCGCCACCTTGAGAGGGTTCCAAGCTCCTGCTTGTGCATAGATAATTTACAAATTTAGTTTAGTCTTAGATTAGGATAAAGACATTAGATCCTTTTCATTAACATGTTTAGAGAAGTTTCATATCAAACTTAATGCTTTGTTTTATTTTTCTAGTAAGTTGCTTTATATAACATTCTCAGTTTTGTTTGAATTTGCATCTATATAAAAGGAATCTGAATCACTCCAAGAAAAAGCAAACCATTTAACAGAAGAAAAGAATGCTTGATATCTTTGTTTTCAAGATCCAAAACCAAGACTTACATGCAAAGTTATCTTCTTTAATAAGTACATGCAAAAGACATCAAAAAGCAGAACACAGCTTTTATCAAACTGAAAAAGAAAGTTTCCTTTTTTTCTCCTGTGCTTCTCCTTCAAATTTTCACTATTATCAAATCTTTGAGATATCAAAATAAGGTCTTCATTACAAAGAAAGAATGGATATGCTTAAGCAAATGAGGTAACGTAACATGTCGACTTCAAATTCTAGCATAAAGATATAGCTTTTTCGCGTTACAATTAATATACTGTTCTAGGGTGAGATTCTCCGGTATAGGAGAAGAAGAGAAAGGAGGCAGCAGCAGCACAAGAGATAGAACAATACCTCCACAGAAAACTCAACCTTTTAAAGGTAGTAACTTAGACTCAAAATCTCAATCTTAGGAAAACAAGAACATTGTAATAGTAAAACTTCTGAATAATACTAAAAGTTTGGTTTTTGTTTTTGGCAGAGACAAAAAGAGCACCTAGCTGGTTGCACAGACAGTTTATAAGAACAATGAGTCGCGATTATGATTCTAGCGATAGTGCTGACTATCCAGCTGCAGTGGCTGCAGCTGCATTTGCTGTAAAATCAATCGAAGACGAGAGCGAAAAAGACCACAGAAGGACAAATAGTGGAGGAGCTGATAAACCTTTTACCAAGACTAAAACTAAAGCAGATGATATTATCCCTAAGAAACCTGAAAAGTTCTCAGGTAGGAAGAAATCTTGCAAAATTTCCTTCTTTTTTTGGGTATAATGGTGGTGTGCGGACCTACTTGTATGAATTTCTAATACTTCATCGTAAACCTGTTATCTCCCACGAGCACGGTTATTGAGTAATTCTGCCCGCCAAAACTTAGGCAAAGGGCAGCCTGGTGCACTAAGCTCCCGCTATGTGTGGGGTCCCGGGAAGGGTCTATTATACGCATACTTACCCTATATTTCTGCAAGAGGCTGTTTCCACGGCTCGAACCCGTGACCTCCTGGTCACACGGCAGCAACTTTACCAGTTACGCTAAGGCTCCCCTTCCAAAAGTTAGGCAGATGCGAAGAAATCACCTAATGTTTTTATCCCTGTCGGAATCTGATCTGTGGTCTCACATGGTTATATTTCTAAGTCTTTTTATTTCCACTTTGTAACATACTAACTTTCTTCTTAACATTGAATTGTATCAGATGAAGTTTCAAAACCAAGACCAAAACTTCCAGATAAAAGTTTGCCAATAAAGACAGCAACAATCAATCCAGAGCCAGTTAACTCTGTACCATCTATTAAGAAGAAACCAACTTTTGGAGATACAAAACCTGAAAGTGAAGTTGCTGAAAAGGCCAAAAGAGTTCCATCTATTAAAAAGACACCAACTTTTGGAGATAGCAAACATGAAAGTGAAGTATCTGAAAAGGCCAAAAGAGTTCCATCAATGAAGAAAACTTCAACATTTCCAGACCAAAACATTGATATCAAACCTCCCAAAGCTCCTGAGGTTCCTGTTTCCGACACTGCTGTTCGGCCAACTAGACAATCTTCATCTCAAACAGGCATGGCTAAAGGGCCAAACATAATGAAGCCTGGAAGTGGAAATTCTAAGGCAGATATTTGGGAGAAAGAAGAGATGGAGAAGATCAGAGAAAGGTATTTTGTTAAACTGAGGCCTTATAGTTAACATCACACTAAAAACTTTCATTTTAGCCGAGGGTCAATACGAAACAGCCTCTTTGCCCTCCCAGGGTAAGGATAGGGCCGCGTACATCTTTCGCACCCCAGACTCCACTTGTAGTAATTTATTGAGTTTGTTATTGTTGTTGTTGTACACTAAAAACTCTCATTCATACCCTTTTCACTAAAAGAGTTCTTGCATGAAACTAGTCTTCCAAAATCATGAGGTCAAAGACATCATTAAAAGACATGCCCCATGAAAGATTCTTTTTTCTGCAACTAAACAAAAGGGCAGCCCGGTGCACACGTTTACGCAGGGTCCGGGGAAGGGTCGAACTGGCTCCAAGGAGTGTGATGTAGCCAGCCTACCCTGATGCACGCATCATTCGTTGATTTCACGACAAATAGGCGGGTTAGATCAAACTTGGGCAGATCAAATAGGTCAAATCAATAAACGGATCATTACTAAACCCGTCCAAAGTTTGGATGGGTCAAGCAACGGGTCGTTATTCAATCAGCCTAACATGACTCAACTTTCCTTCCTTTCTAATTTTGCTTTTTGGAAAAAAGTAATAAAGGTGAAAGCTAGTGTATTTTTCGAAACTTAGGGGCTTAAGTTCTTCCAAATTTACATAATTCTCAATCCCTAAATTTTATTTTGTATGGTTTCGTTCACATTGCATTTTGACATGTCGGTTTGAACTACTTTGACAAATTTTTACCCAATAATTTGATGGTTTATTCCTGGATTCAACCTGTTGAGTCAAGTCAACAAGCGGATCATAACTCAATCCACTCAAGCCAGGACGAGTTGGCCAGGTTATTAGAAAATGGGTTAATTTTGTCACCTCTAGCTGTAACATAAACATAGTGAAGGAGTTAACAATAATACTATTCTCTAACCTCAAAACAGGAAATGGGTTGATTTTGGTTATTCTATTATATATGTCCAACTTTTTATTTATTTATTTATTCTCCCCCCCCCCCCCCC